GGAAGAAGAAGGTGCAGGTTAAAGATAAACAATGCTTGATCTATTCTTAGCTCTTGGATGAAGATCTAATGGACTTTGATGAAAATGAAGTGACAGATGATACTTTTTTTCAGGTACCTCTTTTTTGTTAGGGATGTTTTTTCAGGTACCTGATAAGTGCCGGGGAGAGTACGTACTCCCGTTGTCTCTTTTTTTTTGCAGGGAGTACTCCCGTTGTCTCGCCGTGTTACACGATATATGCACGGTAGCATGCATGCACAAGACTACGGTAGGGTCGTCCCCTAGTTGTTGTTTTTTTGTCCAAAACGAAAGGTGCATGCTCTCTGATTGATCGATCCATCTACTATGAATGCTCATATACAGACACAAGCGCTCATATACAGGCGCATACACTCACCCGTATGAACGCACACATGCACACCTTATCCCTATGAGCATCTCTGCAAGACTGAGCCGGCATATCATCTTGAGATTTACGAAGCCACCGTAGGCGCCTCTTCGTCGACGGGAACGTCTCCTCCCACTGAAAGCGCATCGCCGAAAATCCAGAAATAATGCGAGCACCAGGATTTGAACCCTGGTGGGATGGGGATATCACTGTCCACCTAACCATCTCAACCACAGGTTGGTTCGCCTGTGAGCGCATATATAATGGAGATATTTTGTTGATTTTGTTGATATGTTGCACCGATTTGAACACGTGGGGTGGCACGCATCGACCGACCTCCACGCAACGAATAATGGAGATATGAAAGGCCAGTGCCTCCAAGAGCCAACAGGTGAAGATGGTCCGCTGAGGATAAGATGATAGAATCTTCCTCCATTGTTGCTCTTTTTTTTTTGTTCTTCCTCTACACCATTACTGCATGTATGTTCCATAGAATGCGATGCTCTGTCCAAGATTTTCCAACCTCCAAAATATAAAAAGACCACAATGCTAGGGATCTGCCATAGCCACAAATATCACAAACCGATCCCGCAACAACAACAACAACAACAAAAACAACAACAGCAACAACAACAACAACAATAACAACAACAACAATAACAACAACAGCAACAAAACATCACACATTGATGACCACTTTTGCCAAAGATGTGGGATAAGTTTCACCTAAAAACACACTCAGATTATGAGTTATCCATGTTGCCCACGCCAGCGCATTGCAGCAGCCCTTGCCACATGCAAATCCGAGAGTGAATCGTGTGTTCGATCTCCTCGGACGAATTACAACGTCAAATAAAAAGTGTGTAACACGTATGCATGCTTGATCTGCTAGTAACGTGGTGCTACCATTTATTGATACTTTGCCACAGCTAGCATGCAGTGACCGCATGAATGTGATGTTGTAGCTGGCTAGGGTCTTCTTCGATCTACATAGATTTTCAAACATCGAAAATGGATATTGATCTATTCATCTTCAATAATAGTAGTACAATGTATAGTAGAAAAAATTAAAAATTACATTCCATCCGCAGACCATGTAATGACGACTACAAGCTCTGAGGCGAGCTGAAGGCGCGCTGCTGTCATCGCCCCTCCCTCGCCAGAGCCGGGCAAACATTATTGTAGTAGATAGTCGGGAAGTTGTCATGCTAAGGCCACATAGAACTAACGCACCAGAACAGCAACCGCCACCGATGAAGAGTGTATATCTGAAATATCCAACCTCAAGACACAAGAACATAGACGAACGATGAACATATCCGAGAAAATCCAGCAAAGACAGATCCGCCGGAAACACACCTCCACACGCCCACCGATGATGCTAGACGTATCAACGGAATAGGGAGTAGGTGGGGAGACCTTATTCCATCTTCAGGGAGCCGCCGCCATCTCGCCTTCCTGAGCAGGACAAAAACCCTAACAAAAATCAAAAAAAGGATCTAAAAATGGAGCCCTCCCACCGGCAATGGTCGGGATCCACTCCGCCCCCTTGGCCCTAAGGCCACCGGTGACGGGGTGGACCGGCGACGGCACCGACAGGAGGCAGAGGAACCCTAGATTTTTGGGAGGTGGCGGCTAGCTAGGTCGTCTCATCTGGCCTCTGATGGATGCAACTGCAACATCGCCCCTAGGATTGACAGAAAACGGATATGCTCTGCTCCGATACCCACTGGTTTGTGAAGTGGAAGATGGCATTGCTCGGTTTTTCAACTGGCGGAAGGGACTCCTAGGATCCCAAATCTGGTGTTAGATTAGCAAAAGTGTTACAGCTCTACACAAAGGACCCTGACAAAATAAAAATTACACATTGGTCCTCCATTCTACAATTATAAGCCCTCAAGAAAAAGGAAAAACACAATTGGGTTTCGATCACCATGGCGACCTCACTGGAGATGCAAAAGCCACCATCTCCGGAAGCAACATTGCCAGCTCTGGGCAACAAGAATATGGCCTCCACACTAGAGGTTGAAGAAGGGGTCATCAAAAAAAGCGAGCAAAGCAAGGAACAACTCGTGAACAACCCTAGCCGCTTAAATCGCACGCTCTAAACATTTCCATGGTTGATCTGCGGCTCCAGCGCGAAGTTTGATGCAAAGGTTGATGAAGAATACACCGATGCAGCGAGGCCAATGGGAATCCCCACGGATCCAAAGCTCGGAAGAGCGGGAGCGTAGATTTACCGCTTTTCCTGCCGCGCCTCCACGAAGGTAAATAAGAGAGAGCCAACAGGGAGCTTGCTCCTCCCAATTCCAGGTCCCATCAATATTATTATTAGAGAGGCTCTCACCAAATCCTCCATACACCGCTACCATCCACTTCAGAGAATATAAAGTAGAGAAGAAAGACACCGAGCCGATGCCGATGGTAGAGCCAGCATCCGAAGCTATACAACGCCATGATCTGGCAGGTATGCGACGGCATGGGAGCCGGCATCACTCAAGGTACTTCCTTCGCCTCGTAGACCTTAACAGGAACTCGAGGGTAAAGAAAAGGACTGGAGTAGTCGTCGAATCTGGATCCAAACGCCTCATTATTTGTCAGGAGAAGCAAAGAAAAAGAAACCTACCACTACGCACGAACAAGCCCCCCTTCCACCCCCATTCCGGTTGTCAACATAGGTGGAGAATAGGGGAAGGAGGGTGTTCTGAATCTACGACACAAGGGCCGACCTCAGTCCATGTCAATCTAGGTGGAAGGGGAAGTGGAAGAGAGGGGTGGGGGTTATCCGAATGAGCAATCCTACACATATGAATGATATGGTACATGATTAACGAGGTGGCTTGTGTGGGACTTTATGGT